TCTGTCCCTAGCCGTGCCGCCGGCCTCCCTGCTGGAGCTGCCCGAAACGTGCCCCCGGGGGACGGAGCTCCCCCGCCTGCCAAACTGCCCGGCCCTGGTGGCGGGGCGCTCGGCAGGCCCCTTGCGCTGCCGGCTGCTGCCTTGGGGCCCCCCTCTGCCGGGCAGGTGTCACCCCGGAGGGCTGCTCCCAGCCCTGCCCGCTCCAGGCCTCCAGCAGGGCCCCTCTCTGGCAGTATTTCGTCTTGCCCTTTCGGGCAGCGTTTCGCATCCAGGCCCCCAAGCTGCTCCTCTCTGGCACAGCTCTGCTGCGTTTTTGGTTTTTGCTTGCTGCTTTACCTGTCTCCAGCTGCTGCACCTGCACGTGTGCCCTTTACGCTAGATCTAACTAATCCTGGCACTGCTGCATGCGTAAGGTGCCAAGAAAGATGAGACGGGTGACCTTAGGCCTGGAAAGAAGTTTTGGCCCACTTCTGCTGTTCCTATGAATTGTCTGTGTTTCACCTGTGAACCGTTTTCCTCGTTTTTTCCATTCCAGAGCTACTCAATACACATGCATGTTGCTTAGCTATTTGTTAGAGCATAAGGCTGATAAAGAGAAGCTGGTAATGAAACTCAAGCAGTTGGAATCTAGCATGAGCTCTGGCCGTAAAAGTAAGTACCTGGTGTCTAGAGGGATAGTTCCTCTTCACTTGTTCCTTCCATCAAAGTAACTATTGAGCCAGTGTTTTGGATATTTAACCTACCTTAAGCTGCATAACCTCTTTTTAGTATACTCACAAAATTGTCAGTAGACCTTATTTTGTGCTGGCTTGCCAGAATAGGTACAACCATTTAGACATTTATCACTTTGTTAGCCTCTTCTCTGATTAGGCAAGCTGAAAGTATTGGTGAAGGAACTAGAGAAGTGAGTTAACAGTCAGCTGTTGCTGCAGAAATCAAAGTTGTCATCTCTGATAAAGGACAGAACACAAGAGTTAATGATACAAGGCTAGCTTACTGCGTGCTTAGGAGTCCTTTCAGCTAACGTGATGAGACAGACATGTTAAGGATAATCATCCCAAGAAAATCTCCTCTGAGGGACCATCCTTTGATGTGGATTTTCATATCCTACTTCACATATTAATTTTCTTTGGCACTTATACTCTACCAAATTATATACTCTCCTGTACTTTTCTTATGATCTAACCATATGCATCATTCCACTCTGTGTCACAATTGCATCAATTATGGTTATGCTGTTGCTGTTGTTATACTGCTTGCTCTCAGGTTATTCTTATACCTGCCTTTTGATTAACCAGTTCTAAAACAATTTTAGTATATAGGGCATATATTCTAATTTAAAATGTTACCATATATTTGTTTTATTATTCCAATTAGCTCTGGAGTACGAGAGGCCAGCTGGTTTATCAGCATACCTATAATTCTCTTGCTTATGCTAAACAAATCTCTAACAGAATTCAGGCCTAAATTCAGGCCATTTGCAGTTCCACAGAACTTGGACACTGCCACATCTGTCATTGTTACAGAGCAGCAGCTTATGAATCATGTTCTGTGTGACATTGTATTAACAATCATGGGTAGTGTAGAGGATGAAATTAGGCTTGCTGTGTAGTATACAACATATATGGAATATACTGTTCTTGTTTGCAGAGAACTACGTGTGCTTCTGAAAAATCCAAGGCTGAGGAAAGACTTGGGTCTCAGTTTGACCTACCTGTGAATCACCAGCCTGCAGAGAAGCTTAGAAATGACATAGCTCATGGCTGTAATGGGATTAGTGCAGTAGCGTCTCCTGTCCACAGAGTTAGGAGAAGTCTGGTCCAGTCTAGAGCTGAAACCGGAGGCTCTGTTTGTGTCACTTTTTTGCTGACACTGCCTTGTTCAGGGCAGTTGGTCATGTTGGTCCAGAGAGCACGTAGGCCCTGGGAATGGAGTGGCAGAAGGTTGCAAGTCCTGGCTATTGAGAGAGTTATATGTAGGTCCTGGGCTGCTGCAGAACAGTACTGAGGTATTTACATCCCTTTCCTTGCAAATACTAGCTTCTTACTTTGTGAACTCAAAATTTGCCCTAAGAGAAGACACTTAAATATACAAATGCCCAAAGACTACCAAGTTTTTGAAAAGTATATGTGGACAGTGACATGCAGAGTTGTCCTACATAGGTCTGTGTCTATTTGTGGTAAAGGGCAGGTCATGCTAACGCTTACGGGCTTTCTTGCAGTGTTCAGACTGGGCAACACGGTACACGCCTTGGTAGCAGCCAAGAGAACTACACAGTTGCCAGATGTGGTTCCTCGCTTCTGCCTTACTACTTCCAACCTGACCCGTGCACTGTACTTCGTCTGCGACACAGTCTTGTGGTTGAGGAGTGTTGGTCTCCAACCTGACATCGATAATCAGAAGTGGCGGAACTGGGCTACCAAGTGTTACTACTTTTCACTGCTGATGAATATAGCCAGAGATTGGTATGAGATCTCCTGGAGGTTGGAGCAAGCTATACAGAAAGGAAAGACAAAAGAAAATGCTTCCTGGGACAAAGAAGATCACAAGCTAAACTGCTTGAAATGTGATAGCTTGCCATCTTTTCTACTCCTGCTGTTTCAGATATTGAAAAGACATCCTCCTTTGCTGCTAGACCTGGTGAAGAATCTGTGTGATCTCTCTAGTCCTTTGGATGCATTAGGAATCTACAAGACCAATCCAGGAGTCCTGGGTTTCTGTGGCCTCATCTCCTCTCTGGTGGGGATCCTTACGTTAGCAAGCCCACATCTGAAACTGAAGCAGTGATGCAAAAGGAGCTGCGTAGTGTGCAATGAACCAACAGTTTTGATTCTCTGTCAGGTTTTCTTTCCGTATGGCACTTTAAAAATGAAGATGTCTCACACTAACCTCAAGATGAGGTTTGCCCTTTGAATAAGTGAATTCTACCCCTTTTCCTTCCCTGTATCTTTGCAGATGAGTTGGGTGCTATGACACACTCCCTGATGGGGTAGAAATGGGAGAAGACAGAATAGTATTTCAGAAACAGGCTTTGGAACGTGGCTGCTAGAGGAACGTGGCTGCTAGATAAGGAAATATTGATGTTCCTATACTTTAATCTAGGGTTGTGAAATAGCAGCATAGACAACTGTAATAGATATATGACTCATAACTAATCATGTTTACACTGGAAAGGTAGAATTCACCAATCAAAGGTTCCTACAGTCAAATTTTTTAGTTTATTCAGGCAAGTTAGGAACTGTGATTAAAATGGCCTGAAGTAAAGTGTGAGCCCTCTGATTGGTTTGAATTGATGGATCCTGTCATCCGTAGGCAGTGGTTTGAATCCAGTGTGATAGTAACTGAAAAGTGATATTAACTAACTGACCTTTCAGTGCTCTTTGTGTAACATGCGTGGGTGCTACTGGATCCATAGTCTAGTGAGTGCCAGTTCATGCCCCAGGAAACCAGCACCTTCTTCTTTTTCCTTTGGCAATGTGAGCCAAGGATTGTTTGCTGCAGACTCTGAATTCTCCAGCGGGCCATTGGTGAGGGTTTTGGTGAAGGACAGCATGTGGGAGAAGCTTATCTCAGTGCTGATAATCCTGTGATTTGTAGGGAACTGGGTTTCCAAAGCTGTGAATCTGGAACCACTGGCTAGCCCTGAATTTCCCCTTATGCACACATCTTAGTTCCCTAGCCCCTGTGATTCCAAGTGCAACTACTTTCCATTAATCCCTGTGTGCTAGGTAGCCTGATTTGTTGTTTTCATTTTCCTTGAAAAATTCCAGCATAATAAGGAGCTTTGGAACCTGCAGTTAAGGAGAAAAGCCTGTCTTGGCGCTTGTGAGTTGGAAGGACTGCAAGGGTGTGTTTCTGGTTGTGTAAGCTCCCGAAGGGAAGGGAGCAGAGCTGGACTTGATAACATCAGAATCTCCTGTGAGAAGAGAAGCTTATTATCTGGATTTGGGCATTCAAGTTTCAAATATTCCTACCTGATCTTCTCTATCCTTCCCTGTCATGGCCACGAGATTTCTTGTGTGTTTGCTCACTGTTTGAATGGGCTCTACCATTTGAAGAGGTCTTACCTTTTCCCTGCAGCTGCATCGTTACTCATCACTTACCTAGCTGGGAATGATTGCCTGGCAGTGTGTTCTAGGTTAAAGGAGAAATGCTGTGTACAGTTGTCTTAACAGTTGCATGACATGTGCAGTCCTTGTTTTCCTGACTTTGCAGCGTACCAGGTCCAACACCATCTGAGAAATATTTGCTCAGCCTATAGGAGACAAAATTATCACATTTCTTCATCAGAGCTAGGCCTGTGTGTTCTGCTGCTTTCTGATGCAAGGACTCCTTGTTTGATCTGTCAGGAGATATGAACAGAGATTACTCTAACCAGAACCAAGGTACTCTCTTACTATTTCTGACTCTGGCCTCCTTTAATTTCTGTTTACAGACAGTCTCCTTTATTAAAAGGAGAAGGCTGTAGAATTTAGTAAACATGGTAATACATGCGTGCTCCAATTTACCTTAAATCGTTTTGCTCGTGCTTGGAATTGCTTCCACTTTGAATGTGAAGTGTTAGCCAGCCAATAAAGTGTTTGAAAAAAGAGCTTGCTGGGCAGGATAATTAAGTGTGCTTGAAGACCAAATGTGGCCTGCAGCAGCTCTTCTTTTTAATATGGAAATGAATACCATTAAAAGTAGAGTGTGCTGTCTGTTCAGACCGTGGTGGAGCGTTATGTGATGGGCTGTGTTGTCTTCAAGGGCTTCCTCTCCTTTTTAACAACAGAATTTTTTTTCTTTACTCCATTTGCCTTTGAGCTCCTGACGATGTGTGGACCATCCCTCCCTCGGTCAGAGTTTGACCATTATCCCAGTGTGCAGTAACTGCTGCGAAGGGAGTAAGAGGAGTCTTGATGATCTAGCAAGGGAGGTTTGGCCACCCTCTGCCTACAGAGTTTTATCTTCTTGCAAGAAGCTGTGCTATGAATTTTCTACAGGGGAGCTCTCGCATACAAAATGTATCTTTCATTGATTTGCCAACTGATTTTTCTTTTTCCCTTGTAGATAAAGGGAAATGGATTAAAATATTAATGTGGCCCCTAGCTAGATACTCCTTCTTGTGCCCCATGGAGGGAAACTGTGCTTTGTTTCCTTTGGGTTGGACAAACACTGTGCAAAGCCACGAGCCGACCTTTGATGTTTCTCTTGTAGAGACTGGGGTTAGCAATTACGGACTTAATTTTGGAGATGGGGCAGTGAATTTTCAGCCTCTCTCAGCCTGACTGAATCATTCTACATTACACATGTCGGAACATACAAAAGTAGCTCTTTTTGCTGGGTGTTAAGCACTAATACTTGCCTTTCTGCTCCCCAGCTGGAGGCTAGAAATGTAATGTACCTTAATGTAATGTGACTGAAGCCATAGGATCACAATCAAATGGAGAGAATCCTTTTAGTGCCTTTTCTTTGTATCTCCTTCTAATACAACAGTTGGAATAACGATGGCTGTTTGAGTACAGGCAATAAAGTTAGATGGGTATGGCACTGTGTCTGCGTGTTACTTAGAGGGTGTGGAAAAGAGGTAATGAAGGTGCAATCTTTCCTCACGTTTCTGAATATGAAGGATCATATTGCTAAAGAGATGTTGCCTGTATTTGCACCTGGGTTACAGAGCTTTCCTTTCACAGTAGCAAGGTCTCAGTCAGATTTGTCATACTCGTTTATAATCGTAATTTGAGTTACAAAAAACATTGAGAAGGGAATATGTGAGTACTTGGTATCACTGCATATGAAACGCACTGAAGGAAAATGGCATTTTGGGCATCGGCGTGAGCTGCCCTTGAGTGCAAGTAAGGAGAGCTGGCACCATCTGCCCGATGTAGGCACAGCTACTGTGAAATGAACTGGTGCACCTGCATTTTGATATCTTATAAACAGCCTTTTGTTTGGATGGGTCTCACTGCTGAAGGGTGAATCGCTGCATCTGTTTAACAATGAATGTCTGTTTAGGGCAGAGAATGAAGGATAACGTCCCCAGTAGAGAGGGGAAGAGATGGAACGGGGATAACCATTAAAACTGGGCTCTTGCTGGTAGCTTACTGCTAACTTCCCTCCCTTGCAGTAAGAGCTTGGAGAGCTCAGGAGCTCTAAAATGTCGCTTCCAGAACAACATGTAAAGTATTGTGTTCAGCAATGATATAGCAAGAGTTCCTCTCTCTGAATTACTGATCCCATACACATTTTGTAATGGGAATGAGCAGGAGAGCGGCATGCGAGTTGTGTAAAGTAATCCTTCTACTCTACTTACAGGCAAGACCTATTAATGTTAATACTGTGCCTGGCATAGTATTTAAAGAAATATATGAACCGTTCAGGATTCACAGGTGAGCAGCAAGTACAGTCAAAAATCTGAAAACCAACATCTGTGAAGAGGGATCTAATGAACCTGCTGTGCAGAGGAAAGGTGACCGAGGGGAAGGTGTGAGGAAATCCTCAAATATCTGAAAGGCTCTCTGCCGAGAGGAAAGTAATAAATTGATCTCTAAACCTGTCCATGAGGTAACAGTTTTATATTGCATCAAAGGAGAATTAAATTGCACAGGAGACTTTTTTTTTTTTTTTTTGAAGTATAGGTAAAATGAAAAACTAAATGGATCACCTAGGAAGGCAGTCTTTAAAACGAGCTGGATGGACACCTGCCAGCAGTGGTTTAGGGGGTGCTGATCCTTCCATAGAGCATGGGAATGGATTAGTTACCTCCCCAGGCTCCTTCCAGACCTAAGTGTAAAGATACCTTGCATGTCTTTGGGATCTGGCTCATCCCCTCACCATAGTATATTACTGCGTATGGAGCAGACTGCAGAGATAAGCGTGTAGAAGTCCTGCACCTAGTTGATCCAGTGAGCTCTAAATATTGCCTGCAGGAACACAGAAACTGTTTCTGGTGTGCTGTGGAGCAGCAGGGGGGTGGAGCTGGATGGATACCTTTGCACTGCAGTTTGGGGTTGGCACAGCCTTTGCCCTGGAGGAAGGGGAAGGGATGAGCAAAGGCATTAGTAGGGCAAAGGCTGTGTTGTCTGTTAATTCCAACTAAAGCCAAGGCAGAGAGAGGTGAGCTAAATGTCATTTTTACCAAGGGCAGTAAGGCTGGCACAAGCCTCAGTGCCAAAAGAACATGCAGTAAACTTTTGAGCAAGCTGCTGCCCTTTGTCCTGCTGTCGGGAGAGCAGTGACTCACACCACCACTGCGCTGGAGACAGTCCATGCTATTCCCCTGCGTGGCCTTTCATGCCTCCGTTTTGGAGGGGGGTGAGCCCAGCTCCCAGGCCTGCAGTTTTGCAGAGCCTCAGGCTGGAAATGAACTCCAGACTCTTTGGGAGGAAAGGAGGTATTTTCCTCCCTTGCATGGCTTTCCCACTTCCCTGGGAAGTTTCCCACCTCCACTTACGAGCAGTGCTGCCAGGAGCAGGGAGCCCACGCGGGAGTGCTGCATGGGTGCACACTGCGTTATCCTGCATGAGGATGCTGGGCAGCTGGGGGTGTTCAAGGGCTAGGTCCTGCTTGGTCCTTCCCCAAGGCTGAACATGGGTACCTGCATGCCAAGGGTTTCCTTTACTCCTGCTGTGCTGAGAGGCTAGGGACACTCAGCAATCTTGCGTCAAGAGGCAGCATTGCTGGTGCCTGGATCTCTCATCTTCACAGATCCCTTTTTGCTATTTCTTAGACTTTTAGCATCACTGCTCTTTCCAGCACGCTGTCCAAGTCGTATCGGTGTGGTTCTTCCTAGTACAGTGTGGAGTAAAAGTGGCCTCAATCTCTGTAGTCAGTAACAAAACCCATCATAGCTCAACACAGTTTTCTTTTTTTCTTTCTTTCCAGTCAATAGGACGCGCTGTTTTATAAAGTGTGACGTGAGTCAGCAGGGTGCCCTTGCAGCAGGGAAGGCTAACATAAGGAGCAACATTAGCAAGAGCGTTGTTGGCAGGTCCAGGGAAGTGATTCATCCTCTCTGCAGCACTTGTGAAGCCACATCAAGAGCACTGTGTTCTGTTTTGTCTCCCTCTCACACCCCGGTAGAGGAGAGATGTTGACAATCCAGAGAGAGTCCAGCAGAGGATTGCTAGGGGATAAGGTGTTTAGGGGCATGGAGCACCTGCAATACAAAGTGGACAGAAGGAGGGACAAGAGATAGCAGGCACAAGTTGCAACGGAGGAAATTCCAGTTGGACACAATGCAGAAATACTTTACCATGAGCGTGGCTTAGCAGTGAACTGGGGCCCAGAGAGGTGAGGATCTCCATCCTTCGAGATTTTCAAGACTCCATTGGACAGAGCCCTGAGCAGCCTGATCGAGCTTCAAAGTTAGCCCTGCTTTGAGCAAAGGTTGGACTAGGTGACCTCCACAGGCCCCTTCCAACTGAATTTTTTTCTCTGATTCTGTCTATTCCAAACGCCTGGAGCGTTCCTCACAGTATCTGCCCTGATATTCGGCTAAAAGCCTCCTCAGCAAAATCCTCAGTAGATTCTCTTAGACTGGTCTGAGAACCCATTTTCTATCACCTCTTACTTGACCTGTAGCTGCCTTGTGTGTAGTGGGCCATGCTTGGAAATCTTTGTTTTTGCTTATATCTAACCTCGGGCACATGTTCCTGTAAGTTCATTTGTCAGTGCCATGTGGCAGCTCGAGGTCTGCCATCTGTTGCAGATCTGTCCAAACTACGTTGTTTTATGCAGTCACGCAAGTTTCTTCTGCGTAATGTTTCCAATTTGCCTGTGCTATCAGATCGTATAGGTAAAATTCCCACCCAGGTTTGCATCTCCTGTTTTGATAATCTCTTTCTTTGTTCCTGGCAAAAAGAAATTGGCCCTGCTTATAGCCATTCAGAATATTTGTATTTTCCTGTCCTAGTGCTTGACTATATCACATCCATCTTTCCATCCCTCCCTTGACCCCCTCTTCTGTATTGCAGCAAACATGAGCTACATGTCTGCATTTGAAATGCCCTTCCTCATCTGCTCCCTCCCTACATCACCCTTGTTCCAGCCTCTCTTAGCGCTCTCTTTTTCAGGTGTGTCTACGCGACCTGGCAATGTTTAAGCTGTTGAAGAGGTGGGACGACTGCCAAGTGCATGGTCTCAGTGTCCCCATGTCTTTCTCCTGTGTCCGTCTCCTGTTCCTTGTGCTTAAACTCTTCTGCGTAGGAACTGTATTCTTTCTCTGTGTTGTATTTCTGAGCACAACGGGTTCCTAGTCCATAACTGAGGATCATAGGTGCTACAGAAATACAGAAAGGTTATAATCTCTTCTGCACCCATTTGCACTGCTACGTAGACTCAGGTCTATAGGAAAACCTGCTGTTGTCTGATTGCTTTTGCCTCTTTCTGGCTGCCCATTGCTCATGATCTGTTGCTTGTGAAATGGTAAAGTCCAAAGATGACCTCTTTCCATGTTATTTGGTAGCATAGGATTAAACTCACAGGCATCCCAGCTGTGCCTCAGTTTCTGGGCTCCGCAGTGAACAAGACAAAGAGGATTTTTTTGCAGTCAGCTGTTGAGGATGGCTCCAGGGAGCCGTTTGTCCCGTTACCACAACAACCCACCAGTTCCCAAACCCGTGCAACTGGGAGGTGGGGCCTCGTGATCGTCCTGCCAGGAGCACAGCACATCTGTGTCAGAGGAGCTGCGCAAAGGGCAGCACAGCTGCCACACTCTGCTCCGAGCTCTGCTGACCGCGGCGGAGGACCACAGCTCAGTGAGTAGTCTGTCGCCACCATGCGCTCCGGTGAAAGCTTCAATGGGACTGGGGGGAAGAGGGCAAGGATTACCTGTTCTGCCTAAATCACCTGCATTCAGTCTGTTGTTGAGGAAAGGAAGTCTGTGCTGGAGGTGGGAGCTACAGGAGTGCTTCTGGGTAGCATCGAGCTAGGAACAATGGAGATGGGTGTTTTGTGGCACTTTACAGGAAGGCACATTATGCTGAGGTTGCACTGGGCACATAGGAGGGTCACTGATGCTGCTGTGCTCCATCCACAGAGCAGCCCGAGTGTGTGAGCTGCAGAGCATTCGGTCCTGAGCCCTCGCACAGCCCTGCATCCTGACTCTAGCTTGTCAGCTTGCCTCATCCTCACCTGCAGTAGCTCTCTCTGCTTCTCTCCTGGCTTCTTAACTTTTCTCAGTTTTCACCTGCATCTGTCATCCTGGCCCTTTATCCCCTTTATATTTCATGCAAATCCATTAGTATTCCCCAGTCCTGGTTACCGTGAGTTTTCCCTACGGCTCTGCCAATGCACTTTATCCTGCCCTGTTGGAGTAAGAGCTTTAGCACCTCCAAACTAGATGACTCTCAGCCCCTTCTTTGTATCTTGGAGTGTTAAGACACACTAACAGGAGAGATTTGTGTGGAGTCATCAGTTCTACAGTTTAACTGGTAAAGAGTCAAGCATTAGGCAACACCACAACCATTGCACCCATGGGAGCTGCATGTCTCAGCCCAGCTCCTGGCCCATCGCAGTCTGGGGTGCAGGTCAAGTAGCAGCAGCAAGTGCTGTGAGACCAAGTCCAACCCTGCCTTTGCAGCACGGTCCGCAACGCTGAATTTTGCTTTGCAGGTGGATGTGTCACAATGACGGCAAAGAAGAATCAGACTTTGCAGAATGGAGGTGCCAAGGTGAGCGTGGGAAGGAGGGAGAGAAGAAAGGGCAGAAGGGTGTGAAAAATGCCAGCTGCTTCATACTGGCTATGCTAGATGAATGAGTCATGTCTCGAGCTGTCTTTTGTGTCACTGTACTATCTTTACACAGATCTGTACTTGCGATAATACACAGCATCCGTCAAAGGAAAACAGGATAATCCTTAGGAAGATTGAAATTAAATAGTTCAGAATCAAGAAAGCAAACTCTGACCTGATAGAAGCCCTCAGCAATATCTCTCAGCAGTGCCTGTCTCTCATCTTTATCTCCTTTATGGACCACAAACCTCCAGCAGTTGTGCTGCTGTGAATGCAACACAGCTCTAAACAGCTAGAGCCACAGGGATTGCTTAACTGTGGGATGTGTGAGAGTGCTGGTTCCAGCTGAAGCCAAAAGTAGCATACAGTTATTATTGCAATAGATACAGTTGTTATTGAACATAGAGATTCACAATCCCACTGCAGTCACAAGTGGGACAACAAGCCAACCTCAGCCTCTCACCTATTCACAGTCAGAGGATATCTCAACATTTTCTTTCACTCTGTCATATGCAACCCAGAAACTTGCCTCATAGCTGCTCTGATGGGTCAATGTATGCTCCGTTCTTCCCGTCAGTCTGAAGACACCCCACTTGGTTGTGCAGAGCTGATCCGCTCTGTGAGCTGGTGAGCACAGGAACAGAGGGTTAGAGCTGCAGGTTTATCCTGCTCACCTGGCTTTGAGGTACCTACTTTGAGAAAAGATCTGAAACTGGTAGGGTGCATAAGTTTGTTATGCAGGTTTATACTGGTGTCCCGTGTAACGCATACTCGCAGGGCTGACAAACACAACGTCTTGCTGTCTCAGAGATCTCTAATGCACCCTTCTTCTAGCTACGACTCTTACCAAAGCCCCTTTGTACCATCACAGGTAGACCCACTCCTTTCTTCTGCATGAGATCTCTATGCCTTACCTGTCACTCTGGTGACAGCATGGACAAGACAGGTGACAATTTTCAGCTGCGTAGGTAAAATGGACTTTGATCCAAGCAAGGGCTGGATCAGATGGGAGAAGAAGCAGAGGAGAGTGGAAAGCTGGACAGTCAGGCTTGCTGTTTTGGGGAGATGGGAGGAGTGGGGACTGTCACCCCCTCCAACACTGCCTGTGGCACCCCTGCTCCTGCAGCAGCAGCAGCCAGCCTGGTTTTCCATGGCTCTGCGCTAGGCAAAGTAGATGGGAGACCCTCTCTTGTGCCACCATCCAGCACTCTGCTTCTCTGAGCAGCTGCTCACTCCAGCAAAGCTCAGAACTGATACAGGAAATCCGGGGAGCTGTTGGATGGTAGTTGGGGTTCAAGAAATGCTGCCCTCCTCTCTGGAGTGAGCTTAGGCCCTCCATGGTCATTGCAACATGCAAATGTCCAGGTGATGGGGTGTTTCTTGGGGAATAACAGTTGTTGGCTGGCTCCTAGCTGATGCCCTGCCTGTGACACACAGGAGAACGTGCTCCAGAGGGTCCTGCAGCTGCCAGTGGTGAGTTCGACATGTGAAAGCCTGCAGCGGACGTACACCAGCACCAAGGAAGCCCATCCACTCATGGCCTCACTGTGTGAGGTGTACGAGAGAGGCGTGCAGGGGGCCGGCGCTCTGGCCGTGTGGAGCATGGAGCCTGTGGTGCGCAGGCTGGAGCCGCAGTGTGAGTCTGTTGAGTGCCTCTATTTGGAGGGGATGTGGCAGGGGACAGTGACTGCCTCGTGGTCAAAGCAGAGGGCTGAGGGAGGAGAGAGTCCCGTTCTTTGCTTGCCTCCTTCATGCCCTGCAGCAAGCAACTAGAGCTGGTTTGAAGCCCTTCAGGGTGATGAATGCTGTACCTTGCTGGGGCTGTGCTGCTTTGTGGCACTTGAGACCTGTGCCTGTGCCCACAGCCAGCCCAGGGTCATCCCCTCATCCCCTCAGCTCTCAGGACACCCCACCTGAGAACAAACTGCTTGTACCCCTCATTCCCCTTTATCTCTGAGGCAAACCCACTCTCACCCAGAGCCTCCAAATCCCCCCAGTCCAAGCACCCAAGGGAAGGGTTCCCGAGTGAGAAGTACAACGCCAAGCAGGCACCTTCCTGCTGTTTCCCAGTACCAAACCCCCAGTGGCCTGTGATGCGCCAAAGCCATGACCAGGCAGCAGCAAAGTGGCCCCAAGGTGCCAGCTGCATGCTAGCTCCTGGCCAGGTGCATTTCCCAGCACCCTGCCTTTGTTGGCCTCTGGCTCACACTTATCTGTGGACAGAGATAACAGCCAGGTCTCCCTGACCCAGGCCTGCCCAGCTCTCATCTCCAGGTATTGCAAGGGCAGGTGTTGTAAGGTATAAGCGGTGCTGGCCTCAGTTCAGGCAGCCACAGGAGGTGAAGTCAAACAGAACAAGGTTCCCAGGGAGCCCAGGACCTTATCAAGCCCGGTGTCAAAGGGCTGAGGCTTTGCACAACATCCCACACTGAAGGTAGCACTTGCATTAGCATGCTTGACCCCTCAGCACCAGCTTTAGGTGGTCAGGCAGGTGGGCGTCCCACCTTTGCATCCCGTTTACCTCTCCAGACACTTTCTCACCAACCTAAACTTCATGCCTTTGCCCAAGACAGTTGCTGTGGCTAACAACCTGGCCTGCTGGGGCTTGGACCACCTGGAGGAGAAGATCCCAGCCCTCCAGTACCCAGTCGATAAGGTGAGTCACAGAACAGACTCCACTGCCTCTGGGACCCATCTGCAGTCCCTCTGCAGAACCAATATCACTTCTCTTCCACAGCATGCTCTGTTTTTTTTTTTTTTTTTTTTTCTCTGCCTCATCTGGTCATAACTTGATGATGACAGGCTGTTCAGGGGTGAACAGAGCAGCATCTTGAAGCAAGGACTCCTGTAGAGGCACCTCCAGCCAGAAGGATGGCTGGGGTCACTCACAAACTAGTACAGTCTGTCAGCATCCTGTGCCCCATCCTGGCCAGCTGCCTCCAGCCCAGGCTGAGGAGAGCTGTCATCCCTCTCTGAGGCTGCCTCGAGGCTGTCTGCATGCACAGCCATGGCTGTGGTCCCCACAGGTCCCTCTGGCTCTCCCACGCTGCCTGGAGCACCTTAGCAGGGCTCTTCACCTCTCTGCCTACAGCTTGCTTCTGAACTGAAGGACACCATCTCCTCCCCCCTCCAAAGTGCCAAAAGCTCTGTTTCTAACACTGTGGACAAAATCATGGGGATGGCGGTGGATGGTTATGAGAAGACCAGGAGTACAGTTGAAACCACGGCAAGGTATACAAGGAGCAACTCTGTGAGCCAGATGGCAGCTGCAGGGGTTGACACAGCCCTAGGAGGGCTTGAGAAGCTGATGGAGTATCTCCTCCCAGAAGAGGACGAAGAAGCAGGTAGTCCTGCCTCCCACATCACCTATGAGGGTGCCTGGAGAGAGGGGTGGTAAAGCTTCCGACTCCGGCGAGTGCATGGGGAATGTCGGGGGGGGGGAGCGGGGAGCTGTGAATCAGGTTGGACAATTTACTGCCTCTTCATCTCTTAGGGATTAACAGGAAAACACGCTTGTGCCAACAAAAGGAAATGGAGGGAATGAGACTGTCCAAACACAATTTCCCATCCCTGGCTGCTAGGATGCAATTGCTGGTGTTTCCATGAGGTGGCAATGTCCCTTGGGCAGCCACATCCCCACAAAGGGCGAGGAGCAGGGAGCCGTGGGGCTGGACATGCACAGACGCACCCTGGAGCAGGGCTAGGAGCAGGGAGCCGAGGGGCTGGACGTGCACAGACCTCAGAGCAGGAGCCACAGTCTCTCCCAGGAGCAGCCGCTGTGCCAGGCTCAGCCCTTGCAAGGCAGCGCTTCTGGGTGCCCTGCTCCCTGTGGTGCTGGCCCTGTATGGGGATGGGGATGTGCAGGCAGGGAGGACTGGCAAGGGGGCTCTTGCTTATGGGGTGCAGGAGGAGGACTGGGCTCTTGGCCACAGGACTGTGGTTTGCAGCATGGAGGGCGAGGCGTTTTGACTCTCCTCTGTGGGTGGAGATGCTTCTGCATTGAATAACAATGGGCGTTGGGGTGCAGCAAGCCACATCTGGGGTAACTGGGGGTGTAACAGGCACATGGTCCCAAGGAAGCAGTGCGAGCCCAAAGCTGGCGGGAAAGTGGAGCAGGGCTGTTAGCGGGTCTGTCCTGCTGGGATGTAACCCCTTTCCACTGGCCCTGTGTTGTTCTACCTTTAGATCAAAAGCCAAAAGAGGTTCGTGGATCAGTGGCAAAGGCCTCCCAGCAGCAGGCCAGTGCTCCCAGCAATCCCAGCACTCTGGGCCGGATTGGAGCCTTGGTTAGTACCGTCTCCCACCGTGCTTACCAGCAAACAGCCCAAAGCCTCCAGCGTGCCAAAGCCAAAGGGCAGGAGCTGGCCACCTGGATCCCTGGCCTGGTGAGTGCAAAAAATCAGCTGCCAAGACTCCTCAGTTATGCTGTGCAGCAGCAGGCAGTCTTTTCTTTAAGATGGGAGCTAATTGGTATGGAGGTTTAGTAAAACACCTGCTTGCTGCAGCATCCTGAACCGCATGCACCCCTTGACCCCACGCACATGGTCCCAGGCCACCCAGTATGCCTGCAGCAGGAGCTGGGCCAGCTCTGCCTGCACTGCCCTTCCCCAGCCCACAGGGAAAGGTGCTAGCTCCAAGATAGCCTTTCACTTAGGTAATAAAAATGGTGTAATGAGGTGGTTTTGCCTTGTTTAGCCCTTCTTAGATGTCTGTCTTTTTGGTCTCCATGGATTTACCTCCAGGTATCTAATTGTGAAATGCTGTGATTCCTTTTTTTTTTCCTGCTGAAGAGTGAGAAAATTTCTTTTCACCCTTTCACAGTGTAGAATCTGAGAGCCCTTTTCCATGTTCTCTGAGTTACTGCAAGTTTCACAAGGTCCTAAGTTTCTTTCTTGTTCTTTTTTTTTTGCACGGCACCAGCACTTTGGGGGCCCAAAGATCTAAGTGCTGCATGCTGGTAACATAAACAATTTGCGCAGGAAACATGACCACAGGTATCCTGCTTCCCAGTACCACGGTTTTGACTGATTTTGCTTTAAAATGACGCATACCAGGCTCCTTAGAGCACAATGGTGAGCAGAGTAGTGGTCGTTGCTGTTTTAAATGCATCCCTTCCCTGCTGAGTAGGAAGAACCGAGGGGGCCTGCGGTTCCCATTGCTTCAGGCTTGTGCTTGCAGGCAGGGTCCTAGGCTCCAGGGAGGAGCCAGTCCCTGCAATCTCTGTGCCACTGGCATGCTCACACACACAAGCTTGTACCATGGTAGCAGGATAAGTTATTTTTAGCTGGCTCCAAATGTATATTGTTGATTTATGACCTTGCCATAATATCTCTCCCCAAGCGAAAACCCTGCCAGAAGCCCAGATAGAATCAGGAGTGGAGATGCCCCTTGCCTTGCCTCTCCCGCCGAGTTTGCTGGGATGGTGACCTTTGCCGGAATCCCAGACCTCCCTGCTGCCATCAGGACTTCTTCCCACATGCATATCTGTCCCCTCTGAGTCCTTTGACATCCCACAGCCCATGCCAGGGGATGCCTTGGGGCTGTGAAATGCTCACTTTCACACACTAAGCAGGATGGGGCAGATGGGCTGCAAGGCAGCGAGCAGCCTTCGGTCGGGGCTCCATCGCAGTGACCTGGAAGAGGCCGAGGATTTTGCGGTGGCACACGCATCACCATCACTGGAGTCACATTGGGAGCAGGGCTCAGCTTTGGGATGCTGGGCAAAGGCTCCTCAGGTTTAGCCTCACGCTGAGCGTTGGAGCAGCTCCACCCTCTTGAGTCCAGTCTCCTGCCATGGCTCTGCGCTTTGGGTATTGACATGATGCGGGCTCACTCGGTGGCTGCAGAGGCACTTGGCGGCAGTGCCAGGATGGTCCTGAGACCCTGCCCTCAGCCTGGGGGTAAGCAGCATAGCTGGCAGCTCTCCCCAGAGGTGGCTTTTTGCTCCTATTTCAGGGCAGCATGGTGAAGCCTAGCGTGCCCCCAGTGCAGTGCACCCAGAGCGAGGGACAGAGCGCTCCGCCTGGCTGGCTGAGCAGGAGGCAGAGCAAGGTGCCAGAGCAGAAACAGGAGAAAGCAGATGGGAAGAAAGAGGAAAACCACACAAATGAGGTACGGAGGCAGAGCAGCAAGCCTGCCCAGGCATCCCGGCTCTGCTGGGCTGGAGGGGTTGTTCCAAAGCGCCCTCCCATCTCTGCCCACGTACCCAGCCCGTAACGGGGACTGTTACCCCACATCCCCTTGGGGAAGAGGCTCGCCACCGTACGCTGCGGGGGGCTGAGGCTCGGAGGCAGCAAGAGGGTGTTTGCCCACAGAGCTGGACACAGAGCCCACAGCCCCATTCCCAGCTGGGGCCGCTCCTGGCTGCGTGACAGCCGTCCAGTGCGCACGGCTCCTCCCAAGAGCCAGTCGCACGCTCTCAATCTGCTATCCAAGGGACGAACCAAACAACTTCACTCCCCGTCTGGCACTCTTCCAGGGGGTGAGTGCAAGCCAGAGGACTGAGTTTCCTTGGCGTGCTCGGGCCAAGTCACTGGACAGAGGAGCTGGAAAACAAAATCCTGCTCCACAGCTGGGGGCTGTCGGCAGCCTCTGTGCTAGGCAGGGTGGAGATGCCCGGATTCCCCAAATCTGCGGTGCTTGGTGCTGCACCGAGCTGTCAGCTCATCTTGCGCTGTTGCTCACCAAGCCCCTCCACGCTCCTGAAAAATACCCCGTGGTCACAGCAGCGAGTGGCACAGTGCTCTGCCATGTGGGAAAGGCAGGAGGTGCTTGGGGGTGGCGGGAGGCTTTGTAGCAGCTCTCGGCCAGGCTCTCGGTCCTGTCCTGGCAGCAGAAGGCAGGGGTGGGAACTTTCCCTTCACAGCGGGTCTGCTGGGATGCGGAGACGGGAAGCTGCAGGCCGGGGGTCAGGGCCCTTCTCCTCTGCCTCCAGGTCCTGTGCTGCTGGGAGAGCTGGACAAGCGGAAATGCAGCTCTGGGAAGGGCAGCCCTGTCCCTGGAGGCCTGGGAGTGGGGGGAGCCAGGATGGGAACAGGGAACAACCCCAATGCAAAGGGCTGCAACGGCTCTTGCAAAGCCAGGGACAGTGATCCTGTATCGTCAGCTCAGGCTGTGAGGTGCTGAGGGGCTGGAGGGGACGAGGAGAGCTCAGGACGATGTTTGTCCTGCCGGGGCCACCGTGGCTGGCACTAAGCAGAGTGTCTGAGGTCATTTATCTTTGCAGGCAGGAGAAGGCCCTGGGCTGGTGGGCAGCATGGCTCAAAACCTACAAACTGCCTATGTTTCCGGCATCTCCACCGTGAAGAAGGTCCCTGCTGTGGCTTGGGATGCGGCAGAGGGGTTGATCCTGTTCACCCCCCGCAGACTTTCCAAGGCCATGGAGACGGTGGATGCTCTCGGGGGAACCCTCGTCAGTGCCCCCAAGCATCTGCTGGGCACGCTGTACAGCTACGTGCCGGTGAGTTTATCCCCCAGACCTTGGCAAGACCCTCAGAGAAGGGTGTATGAGGGGCCCAGGCCAGATCCTGTTCATCTACAGCAAAATCCCCAGCTCTGACCCATTTTGGCCAGCTTCCTCCCGTTTGCACCCCTTAGCGCTGGGCAGTGCCAGGGAGCAATGAATTACCCAGAGCAGGGTGTACAGGGTGCTGTTGGGACACCTCAGTCCCGACCTCCTCCCGATTTCCCCCTTCTCAGGCCCCAAAGCACTGATGGAGAGTCCTCACTGGCCCCACAGCAGGGAGCGCAGGTCAGCCAGCAGTGATACCTCACACTGCTGACCCTAAATGCCACATGTCCTGTGCATCCATCTGTCCCCAGCGGACGCTGAGGGGCCACCTAGTGCCATTTACACAGGCAGTCACAGCTGCGAGAGATAGTTTGTGCTCAAGCCTGGCTGTGTCCACAAATTCCTGCAAAGGCAAAAGTTCAGGCTGAGTCCATGTCCCCCTCCTTCCTTCCTTCCTCAGGTCCCATAGGTTTTGTGGTACTGAGCTTAAAGTTTGGTTTTGTGACTTGGAGACTTAGGTGATTCAGAGGCAGCTGGTTTGGGGCTGTGTTGTTTTGAGAGTCTGAGCTGTTTTGCATCTCCTCCACCTGTAGCCACTGACGCAGAGAGGGGGATGCAGGGTGGTGAGGTACTCACCTGGGCTCTCCCTGGCTTTTAGCTCCGCAGGCAATCGGTGAAGGAAGAGGAGACAGCTCACAGGAGCAAACCCAGCGCTGAGGCAGACCAGAAAGAGGAGGATCCCAAGCCTGCAGCTCCCTCCTCCGAGGAGAAATCCCAGCTGAAAGGAGACTGGCGAATGTATCGAGGCCACCACCCCTTCTCCTTCCTGGGCCTCGAAGACCCCATCTTCATCCGGCACAACCTGTATCGGAGCCCCAACTTCGAGCCCGAGTACCCTCCTCCTCGTACGTCGGCCTTCGCCCCCTACAACAGGCGGGTGAGCGAAGGCTCATACCGCTTTAACCCCGAGGCGATGTATACCCGGGCCTATTACACCAACCTCCATGGCAGTGCCTTCAAAAAGGACTGAGCTGGCGTGGGAAGACCAGAGCTCCCTTGCCGCCTGTCTCACCCATGCCAGCTCACTCGTCTTCATGCTTTGCCAGCGGCACGATGCTGCGTTCAGCATCTACCCTCGCCAGCTACCCGCACGGCACAGCCCTCTGTCCCCCACAACCCAGCTCGGACACAGGGAAGAGAGGATAGGGGAACCAGGCTTGAGGCTGGAAGGAAAGGGGCTGCAGGGGCCCAGCGGTAGGTGTTCCTGGGGACCTGCCCCAAAGTGAGTGACGCTGGGGTGACGAGCTCATCCAAGCAGGGACAACTGTGTGTGGATGCCTCTCTGTCCTGCCTCTCAAAACTTGTGTCCATGCAAGGAAATAATTGGTCATGTCCTCTCTTCCAGACAAAGGAAAGGCACCAAACTAGCTAGTTCTGCTAATAACTTACAATAGCCAAATCGGAAATGTAAAGGCTAGTCTGTCCTGCTTCTGCTAGAAGAGCCATTAGGGCTCTCCAGCATATATTATGAGCCCTCTCTAGCCCTGGTTCAAGAGAACAAATACTGAGCCTTTAAAAAGGCAGCCTTCCGCCCAGTTACTCATGGGGCTTACGGGAGATTGTAACAAAACCTGAGGGGCAGTTTGAGGGCAAACTACCCTCTCTTCACATGTGCCCAACAGACACAGGAGGAGACTCTGTTTTCTGTTCCCTCAGGACCGTGACGGCGCTAAATAGTAGTTGTGCAATGGGAATTTGTTTCCTGTAGAGTGCAGTGGGGTAAGGAGGAGGAGACTAAAGGCAGCAAGAAGCTCTGTTCTGAAAGGAAGAAAGTAGGTGGGAAGGATATCAGAGATTGGAAGGAGATGCAGAAACACTGGGGAGACCAGAAAAGAGAAAAGGGGACCAGCCAGGGCTGGCACCAGGCCACCCTGGTCCTTGGTGAGCACATAGTCTATATGGGCTACACACAAAGAACAGCATTGTGAGACAGACCAGCAAGGACAACAAAGCCATCAAACTCCAGCAAAGACAACCTAGTTCCTCATCCTTCTTCCATCCCACCTTGCAGGTTATGTCTCTGACCCCACTTTGCTCTTCCCAAGCTTATCTGGGAGCTGTGCTTGAAAGTCCCCAGCCACTGGCAGGATTCACAAATAGGAATGCCCCAGGGATCAGGCTCCTCACTTCCCTCAAGAGACTTCTCACAAGAGACTAATGGTAGGGCCTTTGAGGTCAGGAACAAGACCTGTGGCAACAGGAGTGCCTCTTGGAGCCCCTCTCTTCTGTAGGACTGCCTGATTTCCTGCAACATGTTGTTCTATTTGCTGCAGTAATAAACCTTCGGTATTTGTCATTTGTGCAGTTTGCTTAGTTTTTTTTGTGTGAGCAAGCTTGGGTGGCTGCATGGGCAGTAAAAGGGCAGAGCCTTGGGTGGCTGCATGGGCAGTAAAAGGTGAGAGCAGAGCAGAGAGTCAGGGATGAGGCAGGGGGAAGAGGAAACCTCACTGTCAAGTTGTTAATGCTGGGACAGTGGGATCCTGAAGGTCCCTGCAGAGGTGTCTTAGCTGGGTCTGCACAAGGAGCCATAAAGGGGCTGGAAACACCTGAAGTAAAGACCCAGGTGCAGAAGCCCCTGTCTTTTTGTGGTGCTCAGGTAGTGCCCAACACAACACAGATGTCTTCCCATGCCTTGAGCACAAATTCACAGCTATGAGGAGCCAGGGGCTTTCTGCCCAAAAAGATTTATTCTATTTATAGTGGGACATGAGTAGAGAAATTACTATCACACACACAAACCCTTTTCCTACACGCAGCATTCCCAGGCACACCAGGGGCCTTGCAAGGCAGTGCTGAAGGGTTTGGGGGAGAGGCAGGGAAAAGCCTTCCTGCAGTGGAGGGTTCAAGGATGAGCTGCGTCCCTTTTCCCAACCTCCTTTTATCTCCAGGGATGGACAGACACGGCTTTTAGAGAATGACTGGGTTTATAAAATGCACTATATAATACCACATCCTGGGAATGAGCCACACAATTGATTTTCCCATGCACAGTCTATACACCATTTGACCAAGGGAAACATCTGCAATCACTGAAAGGCTGTGGGAGGGAGGACTGCTGGCAGGGGGACGGGACTCACAGTTCAAAAGCACAGCACTGCTTGGAATCGCAGAAAAAAGGCAGATGGGACCGGAAGCCAAAGAATCCTTGCTGAGGTCCTTCAGGGTCAGCCGATAACACAGGTTTGGAGAGACTCAGACAGTGCTACGCACACGCGGGAACCGCCGGCTATTCTACAGCCAGCTCAGCACCAGCAGGCGTCCAACGGAGAAATCCCCACCGTGCCAGCTAGTGGGTGCGAGAATCAACACAAAAACGAGAGCAGATCAAGGATTACAGACAAGGTGACCCTGACGAGTATCACGGGCAGAAGTAATAGGAATCCCATAGAAGGAGCACTGCCAGGACCCAGGATAAGAGCAGGGAGATAGAGTAGCGCTACCGGACAGAAGCAGTGCATCCTTCCCGCTCACCAACAGTCGGGGCAGCTTCCCACAGAAGATGCTGAGGAAGCTCCAATGCTGCCTCGTGTAGCAGCAAAAACACTTTGTGATTTCCAGTGCTGGAGGAACAAAGAAGAAAGCAGGAGGCACCTAAAAACCATGTATGGCAAAGAGGAGAGATTCTGCCCCAAAGCGTGACCCACCATAGAGCAAAGAGCCTCACGGTGGCCTGCAGAGACCACGTGCTAAATAATGACATGTCAGACATGGCTGGGAAAACACAGCTGAATCCTCACCAAAGAGGGCAGGGCTGGGAGGAGTCATAGCTTCCCACAACGTACAAGGGAGCCCAGGCTCTACTGGGGGGGTCTTATCCACATTGTTACAGAAAGGCCCTGTAGCCCTCGGCTGCACTGGCCATATATGGCAGGAAACCTAGATCCTGACGTTGGGGTATAATCAAGGAAACCATTGTACTTATCAAATGTACACCCATTTCCATGGGCACCCAGGGAGGAGGATCAGTCCAGCCAGGCATGACGTGACCCCAGCCGGCAGCACACAGAGAAGCAATGCACCGGTCGTAGCTCAGAGAGAGTCTGTTCTTTTACGGGCAAACACAGCTGACATGCTCTTGACGATGCCACGGATCCTGGTACCCTTTTTCAGCGTCAGTTTGGTGTCAGGGATACGCTCAGCCAGCCCATGGAAGACCATGAGAGCCCCGTGATAGGCCTCGGCGGCCGAGACCTCATAGAAACCACAGTCCAAAGAGAGGGCCAGGAGCCGGCCCTCCTCGCTAGACACCACCCTTTGGTGGTGTAGGTCCCGTTTGTTGCCCACGATGACAATGGGCACCTTCTCCTGGCTCAGACCCTCCTTGGCCGCCTTGATGAACTGGACTTTGAGGGGCAGGATATTGAAGCTGGCACGGTCACAGATGCTGTAGACCAGGACAAAGCTATCCGCCCACTGGATTCGCTTCTCCTCTGAGGAGCCCTCATCTGCCTGGTCCTGGGGAAGAGAAAAGGGACAGGAGCAAAACAGTGGGGTTAAACACAGAAATAACTACCAGTGAATTGCCAAAGAGGATGTTAGTGCTGGAAAAGTTCCCTGGCCCACTGGGCTGGGATGGAAACAAAAATACTGCCCTTCTCAGCCAAGTTCAGGGTTTAGCAGCCTGAACTACAAGAACCGGGGACTGAGGGGCAGACAGTCCAGTTTTTATCACCACAGGGCAGACTTGCTTGCTAGAGACTGAGACAGCATCACAGGTCAGACTGATGTAAAAGGAAAGGTTTGCTTATCCAGCTCCCTCCCTCCAAGCCTGCCTGCAAGCAGACAGGGTGCGGGGATCCTGAGTTCAAGGAGACACCAAACAGAAACTCCTGCTCTTCAGCTCAGCAAGCAGGTCCAGGAACAGCCATAGGGCACCAACCCCTTTCGCTGGCACAGGTCCAGCCCCCCAATGTTACTAAACCGATGGGAAAAAGAAGATGGAGCTTATCAGGACAGGAATGGCTGGTGAGCAGCAGCAACATAGAAGGGCAACGAGAACCAGGAGCACAGAGGAAGGCAGAGCAATACCTGACACACCTCATCACAGTGACAAGACTGGGGGCACTAGAGTCAGTTACTGTCTTCACCCTACCATACCGCTGTGGAAGTGCTGCAGGCTGTTGGTGATAATAGTGTGGGGTTCTCAGTGCGGCACTTCCACTTTGTTAATGCAGTCTGGAGCTCAGTCCAGGCAAATAAAATCACTGCTTCAGCCCCCACTGTCCTTCTCAGTCAGAAAACTGCATGCTATGATGACTATTGCCAGACTGCGAACATTGCTGCCCTTTACTCTGCAGGCAAGAAGGTTCAGTTGCCTACAAACCATCTGCTGAGTGAGTCTGAAGCAAGAGCTTTGCTCAGCTGGTGCTTCCAGTTCGTGAATCTCCATTTGTGTTTTTTTAAGCAAAGGGTGGGCTTTTCTCCTTGGGGTGAAACCACGCAACACGAGCAGAGCCCTGTCACCTGCGAATACGGGACATCCCAGATGTGGAAGAGAATCTCTCGGCCATCCACAGTGAGGTTATGGCTGTAGATGAATTCTGCCAAAAAACGAGAATGAAGGTCGTTATCTTCCTAGGCTCACGAGACAGTTCTCTCAAGCCAGGCCTTTTTCTCCTGGGGACAAGCCTGTCACGTCCACCCTGATGACATTGCCTGTCCTGTCTATGTGGAGACCGCGCTCCACAGGCAAGGTCTAAGGGCTCCTTATGCAGAGTAACAACCACTCAGAGCATGTTGGTCTACCGTAGGCACCCCAAACCACCCACCTCTGCTCCAGCATTCAGTCCATGCACAACTGTGCCATCCGTTCCCCCACCCTGAGCCTTTTGCACCCCAAAGAAACATGTCTGAGGTCAAAAAATAGGCCCTGGAACAAATACAGCCCTGAAACCTGGGGGCAGGCGAAGGCCCTGGGGAAACACAGGGCCGGATGGGAAACAACCAAGTCCTGTAGCCAGAATCAGGCTCACTTTGTGACTTCCCAGCCCAGCTAACAGGATGGCCCTCAGTCTGGCACTCACCCATGTCTCCGTATTCCCCGATAAAACGCCTGGTGAGGAAACGCACAGTCAAAGCTGCGAAGAGGAGAATAAGAATCACACAAATAACCCTAAGCCTTAAGGATTTGTATTTTGGTTCCGAGCAAAGTGAGCTCAGCCCCTGACCACAGTCAGGCACCATCCCCGCCGTAAACGCCCGCCGACAGGAACGGCCTCTGGTTTTTCTCCCTTGCGTTTCCTTCCAGACATCAGCAGCTCTGCAAACAGAGGAGGGGCAGAGCACAGACCGGCGCATCCGCGGACTACGGCTGGCCGGAAAACCCCTTCCCCAGACACCGTGCTGCTGCCCGAGAGGCTGCGCTCGGCTCCCCCGCCTCGAACCCGAGCTGTGCCCGACAGAGCCAGCCGGGCCTGTGCGCGAGGGGCTGCCCTCGGCCCCCCCGCCTCGAACCCGAGCTGTGCCCGACAGAGCCAGCCCCACCTCACCTGCGTGCTCAGACCGCAGCCCGACCGCCTCCGCAGCTCGCTCCAAACTCTGCTACCGAGTTCTCAGTCTTTTTCTGTGGGAGAAACGGAAAGTTCCTGCCTGCAAACTTTCCGCTCTCGCCTACCTCTGGTTTCTTACCTGACTTCCCCACGTTGTCCGCTCCCATGACGAGCACGTTTGCTTCCATTTTCAGGGCAGCGGGGCCAGGCACCTCCAGGAGGGCAGGATGGTCTGGGGTGAAGCTGGCACTCCGGCGCAGCGGGAGCCGA